CATCTCCAAAACTGTGACACCGCTACCTATTCTGAACTGATTTAATTCAAAGTTGCTTTTTTAAAACAAATATTTCCCAAATTTGACCAAATAAGGCTAAATTTATGCTTTGGGCTTGCAAAAAAATTAATCATCGACACTAACGGGAACGTATGCATCCAAATCATCCAAATTCAAGTAGGGTTAACATCCTGGGTGGCTTTTGCAGAAAAGGAATCCTTCACAAGGTAAACAGGAATTGGACCTCTGGGTTAGCTAAGAAAACATAGAGGGGCACTGATTGTAGGCTTCAGATCAAGGATACACTCACAAAACAAGTGCAAAACACCCATTTAGCAGAAATAAAACTCGTTTCCCCATTGTATTCTTTACTGTTCACTAAGGTCCTTGATGGGGCTTCAAGGCATCCATTGTTAGGAGCAAATATGATGCATGCCAATTTGCTGCTGATTTATGTTACTTAAAAGACTCTTTTAAAAGCCAAGTGGAAAATCAACCAACCCAGGTTACATATTGCCCTGGAAGCATGGGATTTTATCTGCTGGACGTCTGCAGTGGAAACAAAATTCTGATGGTAGAAAATGAAAGGATGTCAACAGAGAACCGTAGTCTAAGATAAACATATGCTTCCAGTAATCTAGATCATGCTTCCTGAACCTGGTGCCCAGCGCATCATTAGTCTAACGTTATTACAGTTTCGGGACTATAACTGGCTGTTTGGAATAGAATTCTGGCTCTCCCTCTTTCCTATTAATTTCTACGTGACACACATGCAGACCTTATAAATGTTACAGAACTACTGATATATGAGAGTAAGTTTTTTCCCCCCCACAACTGCGCAGGGAAGAGAGAATTTCAATTACACATTTATATCATAAAGCACAAGCATTAAAGAGTGAGCTTCCTACACACAGCGGGGATTGAGAAAAGACAAAAAGGAAGCAAAGAGAGGCAAGTTATATGGAGGCATCATTCTGGGAGGAACAATGAGGGATTACCTCATGGAATAAGAAGACCTTCAGATGATTAAAGTTGGGGAAGGTCAGAAAAAGCGATGTGTTGGGTTTTCAGTACAGAAAGGTAAGGCAAGGCGGGGAGAACACAGGGAAAGAGTGTACGTGTCAACTTGTAAAGCGTTTCCATGACTACTATCACGTTGACATAGGAAAAGGGAGGAGAATTCCATGCATACCTTTGGCCAGAGTCAGGTCTCATATTCCTACAGCTGGCATGTGAAATGAGCATGTTCATAGCCTGCCGCAGCACCTTGTTGGTGGATGTGATTTATGACACAGACAGAAGAGAGGGGATACAGGGGTAAAATTAAATTAAGCGAAAATTAATTTCGGCTCCACAGAAGAACATGCCAAAATGTTGATCCTAATAAATCACTGCATTT